AACCAGAAAGAAAAACACCAATACAGTATACTAATGCATATATATGGAATTTAGAAAGATGGTAAGGATAACCCTCTATGTGAGATAGCAAAAGAGACACAGATGTATAGAACAGTCTTTTGGACTCTGTGGGAGAGGACAAGGGTAGGATGATTTGGGAGAATGGCATTGAAACATGTAAATTATCATATGTGAAATGAGTTGCCAGTCCAGGTTCAATGCATGATACAGGGTGCTCAGGGCTGGTGCACTGGGATGACCCAGAGGGATGGGATGGGGAGGGAGGTGGGAGGGGGGTTCAGGATGGGGAACACATGTACACCCATGGTGGATTCATGTCAATGTATGGCAAAACCAATACAATATCATAAAGTAAAAATAATAATAATAAAATTTGAAAAATAAAAAAATAAAACTTACAGATTAATAAGCACCATTACAACAGCTTTCCTGAGGTTGAATTGGACCCCAAGAAACTGATTTACACTCACTGAGCCACAAAAGACTAATTTATAAATCAGATTCTATTTATTAATTTTCAGTGAGTAATATCAGTCCTGAACAAGTTGAGTATTCATGTCAGCTTATTCACTTCTCAGTGGGAAAACACGCTTGGCAAAACAATCAAGATCAAAGTCCCAGAGTAAATGCAGTCAGAGTATACAGCATGAATGCTTTGAGGGAGAACATCAAATCCTGGTAGCTGTGAGCTTCTGCCCTCCCCCAGCCTCTTCTAGCTGAAGTCATGAATTCCTTCTGCCTACTCACCTAATTCTGGAACTGGGGTGGAAAAGTCAATAAGCAGTTTGGAGTGTGGGATTACTCTTCCTTCCTGCTTTGGTTTTGACAGTTTTTAATCCAGTTACTTGTTGAATCTGAGACTCTGCTCTGATTCACGTGAAAGTGATGTTCTCTCCAAATGTGATAGGTATTTCAACTGACTAGTTCTATCATCCAAGGCCTTGGTTTCATTGCTAATCTAGAGAAATTTCTATCGTCCCCACAGAATCAAAAATGTGAGAGACTTAAAGCACATGTCATCATTTTAAGGAGAATCGGCAGATCAGCTGTTGAGAAATACTGCTTGAAATGCCCATCAAGCTTCACTCTTTCATCTTTGCAGCTTCTCGTTTCAAAAAACATATAGCAGTTTACTTTGAGGATTTGTTGCTCTTCCTATCTTTTAGAAAGCCAGATGGGAACTAGCAAAGAGGCCTTAGATTTGCCTACCAGGGGAAAAAGATAGAGCCCTCCTGGCTCTATGAGATCTAGCCTATCTCAACAGGACTAGAGCTCCACAGTAAGATTTGGTTATCAAGTCTTCCTTTTTTCACACTGCTCCCTCTGCAATTTACTTCTGGACCTCATAGACTGATTGAGGACAGGATTTTAGAGTCTTGTATCTGGACTCTCTCCTCCTTTTGTCCTGTCTCCTTTCCTCTCCTCTCTTGTCTCTCACTCACATTCTCTCTCTCTCACAACAGAAACATGTTAAGAAAAAAAAAAAAACTCCTATCTTGAATAGGGATTTCTGCCTTTCTGGGACCATCCCAAGGATTAGAACAAATGCTAAGATTCTAGTTCTCCCTTCCTACTTAGTGCCTTAGCCTCCATATCTTTCCTTACCCCTAAAAGTCAGTCCTCTAGTGGCAGATATCTGCTTTCTGGGGCTCAGAGAGGAAGCTGGCTAAACTAAGGGCCAAGCTAAGTTTTATGTTAATGAGAAATAGTAAGCTGGTAGAGGAGTAAGTGAATAGATTTTACTATATCACTTTCTAGATCTATGATCTTAGCTAATGAAGTCACTTAACTTCTCTGGAACTTACCTTCCTTAAATGATAAATAGAGAAGAGGGATTTATTAACAGTAACAAGTTCTGATTAAATGGTTTTCTAATTGTGATCTATAGTTGTTTGGGCCTATCACACTTCACTTCAACCAGAGCAATTCTGCTGTTTTTTCTGTCTGTAGTATAAGGAGTCTCCAAACTAAAGCTTCATTGGGAAAAAAAAGGGATTGACTAGTAAAAAACATTTTTAACAACTTGCTTAAAGATTTTTGAGGGCCAATCTAATCTTAACATGTTTTTATTAGGTAGCAGAAGCTCTCTATGAGCACACCTGTGGTTGGCTTATCCAAAGGATAAATATACTAGGTAAGGATTTCAGTCTGCAAGTCCCAATCAAGCAACATCATGAAAGATTGGTAAGGGACATATATGAGGGACAGCTCATAGTCATTAAATAATCATCCCAAATTCATGACCTGCCCCTCCCTTTGTGTTATATATCCCATAGATGCTGAGCTCCTCATAAGTTGTCTGCATAAGCCTGCCTCACAATGGATAGATATTTATGAGTGCCTGCTATGTATGAGGCTCATAGGTGGGGGATAAAGGGGGCATCACAAAAGATTTTTCAACTATATGTTGCCTACAAGAGGCTCACTTTATTTTTTTTTCAGTTCATAGATAAATTTAATTCTCATAACAACAGATTGATGTAGCATATCCTTACTTTACAGGTAGAAAACTAAGGCAAGAGAGGTAAAGTTTTCCTGTAATCATAATTATTCCTTCATCATTTATTCAACACATAGATTCACACACTGGTAATTGGTGGATCTGGAACTCAAACCCTTTTCTTCCTTACTCAGCAACCTTTTATCATTGCGTGCTAAGTTGCTTCAGTTATGTCTGACTCTATGAGACCCTATGGACTGTAGCCCACCAGGATCCTCTGTCCATGGGATTCTCAAGGCAAGAATACTGGAGTGGACTGTCATACCCTCCTCCAGGGGATCTTCCTGACACAGAGATAAAACCCACATCTCTTATGTCTCCTGCACTGGCAGGCAGATTCTTTACCACTAGTGCCACCTGAGAAGCCCCCTACCACTAGTCTTCTGGTTTCCACTTGGCTAGGAGATATACAATCAATCCCTTTCTCTATTTCCATAGCCACTGTCTTAATTCAGATTCATAATTTATCTTCTGGACTATTGCAATTGCCTATTGCATATGCCAGAAAAGAGTTCTTGGCTTCTAGTCTCTTGCCTCTTCAATCCATTCTTCACTTAGTTGTAATAGCTGTTCTATAACACAAATTTGACTGTATTGTTTCCTTTCTTTAACATCAAAACTCCTACTGTCTTTAGAAAGAAGTTCAAACTCAACATGGAACAGGGGGTACTTTGTTATACCACCCAGTTGCTTATGCCAAAGCCTTATAGTCATCCTTGCTTTCTCTCTTTCCTTTATTCTTTGTCCATTAGCAACTTCTGTCTACATGGACCTCTAAAACACATCTTGAATCTGTACACTTTACTCTACATTTTCACTACATTTATAGCTATCACACTTGGCTGATCCACCATAACCTCTGTCATTTAGAGAATCCCTGTTACAATAACCTTCTAACTGCTTCACTCTTGCTTCCCTACAGCCTACTCTCCACATGACAGCCATGTGTGCATGCGTGCTCAGTCGCTTCAGTCATGTTCAACTCTTTCTGACCTTATCAACTGTAGCCCATCAAGCTCCTCTGTCCATGGGATTCTCTAGGCAAGAGTACTGGAATAAGTTGCCATGCCTTCCTCCAGGGAATCTTCCTGACCCAAGGATTGAACCTTTATCTCCTGCATTAGCAAGCAGAATGTTTACCCACTAAGCGACCTGGGAAGCCCACATGACAGCAATAGTAGTCCTTTAGAAATCCAAATTAAACCATGGTGTTCATCTGCTCAGTATCTCCAATGAGATACTATTTTATTCAAAGAAAATGACATATTAGACTCTAAATAATATGTTCCTACCCCCTGCTAAACCTTCACCTCTGATTTCTGTTCTTCAAACATATCAAGTTCATTCCCATCTTAGGGTATTCCTGAAGCAATTTCCGCTGCCCCAAATGCTCTTCTTTCTTAATGTCTCATGCCTAGTTTCTTCTCATCATTTAGATCTCAGCTTAAATGCCATCTTCTTAGAGGGGCCTTCCTGGACCACTCAAATTAAGATCCACCCAGTGAGTCTATCATACCGCCTTATTTTGTTTTTTGCACAGCACTTATAACTATCTGATATTTTCTTGTTTGTTGATTGCTTGTCTTCTTATACTAGACAGTAAGCTCCGTAACATTAGGTACTTAGCCTAATGGACTATTTGCCTATGGACTTTGCCTATGAACTCACTAATGCCTAGTGAGTAGTCTTGCTCACTACTCTATTCCTAGTACTCACAATAGTATATGGAACACAATAAATATTCTATAAATATTTGTAGGGTGGATAAATTATCCTTTTCTACATCTCCAATTTCTTCTCTTATCACTCCCTTTCCCATCCTGCTCTCAATTTTGTTAAAATCCCAGAAATATCCATGCTCTTTTTTTGTCTTTGCTTAGACAAAATTGCTTTCCTGATAAGTTCCTAGTTATCATTCAAGACTCACTTAAAATATCACTTCCTCTGAGAAGCCTTTTTCTGATCCCTCCAGGAAGAATACAGACTTTGCCTCTGTGTTGCTAGAGTGCCTGGTTCATATAATCATTATACTCTCCACTGAAGCCATTTTTCAGTTTGTCTGTCCCCTGAAGCCATTCCCAGCACTTTTCATAATGATTGACATTTAATGAATGTTTACTAAATGAATAGATGATATCAAAGCTAAAGCCTTCCAAACTACCAGGCCACCTCCTTAGCCCTCTTGAGCTGCTGGAGAGACAGCATGGATATAGCATGTGAAACTGAAAGATTTGGCTGTTGGAGTTTGTTGTCATTTCTATGTTTCTTGCCTTTTCTATGTTTCTTGCTAATTTCAGGGCATTGAATGAGTTATTCACCTTTATAAGACTCATGGTCAGAAGATCCCCAGCTTGCGGGCCCGGAGCACAGTCCTAACGGCGCGGCGGAAGCTAGTGCTCTGTGTCCAGTCCGCGTCCTTCCCTGGGCAGGGCTGCCACTCTTGCCTGTCCGTTTCCTCATGGCGCTGCTCCGACACCCAATGGTGTCCACCGATTTAGAGAATAATGACACAGGAGTTAATTCTAAACCTAAAAGTCATGTGACTATCAGGCGAGCATTTTTAGAAGAAATTGGAAGTCGGGTTACAACCCGAGTCATACAAGTAGCTAAGAAAGCCCAGAACACTAAAGTACCTATTCCACCCACCAAAACAACAAATGTCAACAAGCACCTGAAACCGACTGCTTCTTTGAAACCAGTGCAAATGGATGTAATGGCTCCAAAAGGTCCTTCTCCCACACCTCAAGACATCTCCATGAAGGAAGAAAACCTCTGCCAAGCTTTTTCTGATGCCTTGCTCTGCAAAATTGAGGATACTGATACTGAGGACTGGGAGAACCCTCAGCTCTGCAGCGACTACGTGAAGGATATCTACCAGTATCTAAGGCAGCTTGAGGTGTTGCAGTCCATAAACACACATTTCCTAGATGGGAGAGATATAAATGGCCGTATGTGTGCCATCCTGGTGGACTGGCTGGTGCAAGTGCACTCCAAGTTCAGGCTGCTGCAGGAAACGCTGTACATGTGTGTTGCAATCATGGACCAGTATTTAAAGGTTCAGCCAGTCTCTCCTAAGAAGCTTCAGCTGGTTGGCATTACGGCACTGCTCTTGGCTTCCAAGTATGAGGAAATGTTTTCTCCAAACATCGAAGACTTTGTTTACATCACTGACAATGCTTATACCACTTCTCAAATTTGAGAAATGGAAACTCTGGTTTTGAAGGAACTGAAATTTGAGCTGGGTCGACCGTTACCACTACATTTCTTAAGGCGGGCATCGAAAGCTGGGGAGGTCGATGTTGAACAGCCCACTTTAGCCAAATACTTGATGGAGCTGACTCTCGTTGACTATGACATGGTGCACTATCACCCTTCCAAGGTGGCGGCAGCTGCTTCCTGCCTGTCCCAGAAGGTTCTAGGCCAAGGAAAATGGAACTTAAAGCAGCAGTATTACACCGGCTACACAGAGAGTGAGGTGCTGGAGGTCATGCAGCACATGGCCAAAAATGTCGTGCATGTCAACGAGAGCATGACCAAGTTCACCACCATCAAGAATAAGTATGCAAGCAGCAAACTCCTGAAGATCAGCACGATTCCTCAGTTGAACTCAAAAGCCATCCAGGAGCTTGCCTCACCTCTGCTGGGACGGTCCTAGGCTCCAGGGCCCTGGGGAAGAGTGTGTCATCTGTGCACTTTGTCTTGCTGATCTGGAATTCCTGAGTTTGTATATAGTCATCTGGTCTATCTCATGAAACCTCTTAGACCAGTTTTCTAAATGTATATTGAGGACAAATAAAGCTATTGATTTTCTTAAGGTAAAAAAAAGAAGACTCATGGTCTTCATTTGTAAAGTGAGCTAACAAAATGACAGCATAAGTTTGCCTGAGACTGAGGGGTTTCTTGGACATAGGAATTTTAGCACTAAAAACAGATAAATCCTAGGCACATCAGAAGAGCTAGTTATCCTAGCTAACAACTACCTTGTTGTCTTGCAACAAAACTTAAAAATAACATATGCAACTCCCTTAGTACCTCTTAGACTGTTTTCTGGTCTAATAATCTCTTCCCCTCCCCTTACTGATCTAACTGCAAATCTTGGCTGTCCACTGAATTTCTCAGCACTTGCCCATTTTATCTGACACCCTCAGACCCATTAAAAGAAATATAGCATTGCATTAAAGACTGGTCTAGAATAACACAGACCTATGTTTGACAACTAACTATGCCTACCAACTATTCTTAGAAACTTATATAATCTCTCTGAACACTGGTATGCTTAAGCATTGAATAGTGACAAGAGTACAGTGTAGAGGAAAAGTTTCTTCCACCCTTGTCTTACCCCTCTGCTCCCTCTCTTCCTCTAAGAGGAGGTACTACTAATATCAATGAAAGAAGCCTATGACATAGATTGTCATATTCACTAGTGGGAGTTGTTGCTATACATATAAAGGTCATATGCATCTCTATGTGGTCTCCTCAAAATTAGCCTTAAGTGTGCATATATCTTTGTTGTCATCATTGTGATTATCTCTCTGTTATTGTGGTCCCTGTTCTACTCAAGCCCTCCTCTTGAAATACATGCAAAACACACACTTTCATCTCCCTTGCAACTGAATGAGCCAGAGCACTCAGGACAAGCCCTTGGCAGATACATTTACTTCCTCTTAACTTTCTGATTTCATGCAAATGGTCAGAGGAATAAAGTACCAAAATTCTTATTTTGAGCCCCAAATGCTCTCAAATAGGCTCCTAATTGTCCCAGGATTCCAAAAGATATATGCAAAAGGTCCTGGGTTTAAGATCCCAGCCTCCTGGAGTGTCTGCTTTCCAGAATAATAAGCTCAGGATACTCCTCACTCATTTGAGAAACTCACTCATAGTTTGTGTTGGATGGGTTCCCAGGAAGTGCAGTGGTAAAGAATCCATCTGCCAATACAGGAGACAAAAGAGATGTGGGTTCAATCCCTGGGTTTAGAAGATCCCCTGGAGTAAGAAATGGCAACCTGTTTCAGTATTCTTGCCTGGAAAATTACATGGACAGAGGAGCCTAGCAGGCTACAGTCCATGGAAGTCACAAAGAATTGGACACGACTGAGCAACTAAGCACACACACAGTCCATATTGGGTTTACAAATATCCACCTTTTGGAGGTATAGAAAGGAGCACTGGGTTAACTTCACAACTGACTTTATTATCCCTGCATAAAGGCAGACTTTTCCAGATTCCTAACTTCTGGGCCCACTGATCTTTCCTACCCAGTTTCCCAAGCTCCCCCCTGAGACTGGGATCTTTTTACACAATGGTGGGCACCAGGCTCCTACATAGTCCCCAAATACTAACATCCAGCTAAACCTGGAGTTCCTGGGATATTTCCCAAAGCCAGTCATGTGTGCCTACATTAGCCTCTTCCTTTTTTCTCTTTGGGCTCTGTCCGTGCTTCCCGGGTGGCTCAGCAGCAAAGAATCTGCGTGCAATGCAGGAGTGGCAGGAGCCGTGGGTTTGATCCCTGGGTAGGGAAGATCCCCTGGAGGAGGGCATGACAACCCACTCCAGTATTCTTACCTGGAGAACCCCATGGACAGAGGAGCCTGGCAGGCCATAGTCCATAGGTTCACAGAGTCAGACACAACTGAAGAGACTTGGCATGTACATGGCCTCTGTCTTCTGCTTTTACACTTACAATGTATTTCTACCTATTCAACTTAACTTTTTCAATCTGTTCCCTAAATTAGTCCAACTTAGTGACTATTGTAGTTTAGAAATTAATTAGGTCAAATAACCCAGTTGCTAAGTCTCAGTCAATCAATAAAAAAATTAATGGACATTGTTCCTGCCTCCTTTGTGCATAATTACATCATATTAGTCCTGGTTTCCCAGTTCCAAACTTTGCCTCTCATGTATACTTTCAGTTTGAGAACACTCCTGGCTTTCTGTACTTTGGTTTTCCCACACAAATTTTTATCCTGCCTTTGCCTTTGTTTTGGCATCCCTGTTACCTCAAAAGAAAACACAAATTAATTGGGAAATTCAGACAGCCTAGAATTTAACATATATTCTACTTTGGTCTTAGCAGGGCACAGGGCACAGAAACAGAACCATCTTCTCCTTGGCTCTAGATTTTATTTTTCTACTAATGCAGGTTAGGTTGGCAGTGGCTTTTTGACAAACTTTCCCACAGAACACTCAATGAGCTTATAGGTTAAAGAAACTATAACTATAGTCAAAGAAAGCTCAAAGTCTTTCACATCTGCTACTACTAAACCAGGTCTCTTACACATCCTGGTCCTTAAGCAATTGATTATTTGAATTTAAGTGTTGTCATTTACATTTCTACAACATGTAATTTAGTTGAATCTCATTGCTTTATTAACAAAGTTGGGAGATTAAAATGTCTAGTCCACTCCTTCAAAGCCCTAACTATAGTTCAAAGGAGACTATTGGAGTCTCATTCACTTAGCACTGGCAACATCTGACAAACTCAAAAGTTTATTACTCTGGCCCCTGAAACTCAAACTTTTGAAAGCCTTGAGACTAACTTAAATATGAATTTACAACTTGCCTAAAGTCATGATGGACTTCCCAGGTGGTGCTAGTGGTAAAGAACCTGCCTGTGGATGCAGAAAACATAAGAGACACAGGTTTGATCCTTGGGTTGGGAAGATCCCTTGGAGAAGGAAATGGCAACCCACCCCAGTATTCTTGCATGGAGAATTCCATGGAGAGAGGAGTCTGGAAGGCTACAGTCCATGGCGTCACAAAGAGTCGGACATGACTGAAGCAACTTAGCACACACAAAGGTCATGATGCCATCCTGATGGTGGTGGACATCTTATCCTAATTATTCTTTTTAGCTCCTGCATTAGACTCCCATTTGCTTGTGCCAGCATCATTCTCTTCTTCTAAAAATTTATTTACTTCTCAATATATATCCTAGGGTTTGTGATTTCTCTTCACTTACATTCATCCTCACCACTTCTTGTTCCACATGTCCAGAGCTCACCATGTAGAAATTGACAGCTAGCTGCATGGAAATTAATATCTGCTACACCTCCTACAGACATAATCTTGAACTCATCTACTTTTCCACTGAAAAATTTACCTAGGATAGTTGGCTATTCTCCTTTAACCAAAATTCTTTCTCAAGGCAAACATAGAGACTCACTATTTAGGGTTGTGTAAAGTTTTCAAAGGGCTTCCCAAGTGGTTCAGTGTTAAGTAAAGAATCTGCCTGCCAAACAGGAGATATGAGTTCAATCCCTGGGTCAGGAAGATCTCCTGTTGCTGAGGTTGAAGCTCCAATATTTAAGCCATGTGATGCAAAGAGCTGAATTGTTGGAAAATACCTTAATGTTGGGAAAGGTTGAAAACAAAAGGACAAGGGAGAGCAGAGGATAAGATGGTTAGCAGCATCACTGACTCAATGGACATGAATTTGAGCAAACTCCAGGAGATAGTGGAGAACAGAAGAGCTTGGTGTGCTACAGTCCATGAGGTCACAAACAGTCAGGTATGACTTAGTGACTGAACAATAGCAACAAAGTTTTCAGAAGTCCTCAAACATGTAGTTCTCAGATCTAGATATCCAACTAATTCATCCCATCTTCCATCATTTTCTCCTTTGCCTAACCCAACAGGTGCTTGACTTTTACTCCACATTGCCACACACAGCCCCATAAACATAATATCAGACTCTGGACCATGTTGTGGAGGGATTTAATTTCCTTGAGCCTCATGGTCTGCACCAATCTCCAGTTTCATGGATATGGGTAGGAGAGTGAATTGCCAATTCCCAACTCAGTAACTCCCAGAAAAATGTTAAAACTTCCTACTAAGCAAATTTAGTGATACCCCAAATATGATCTCCAGAAGAATGGAGTGAGAGTGAAGGGTAGGATGGGAATATGTCTTTTCTTCTCTGAGCCCTTTAATCTGAGCCATCCTACCTACACATCATATATCCCTACAAGGTCATAAAGCAAACATCACCTTAATTTGGTTCTAAGGAATAACTCAATTCCTAGTAGTGCCTCCTCTCCATTGCTTTTTACTTTTTTTCCATATTTTGATGACTCCAGCACCTGCTCTGGCCCTTTTCACCATTGGTGATCAATTTCTGCAAGGTAAGAGAGCATACTTCTTGTCAGATTCGTTTCCTTTTACTTTTCAGATGAATTGTGTTATAAGGGTTTAACTTTAGATAAGTTTGCCTGGGGCCTGGCCCACTTATAAAATGACCAATGATCTGTAGAACTGACTTAGACTTCTGAATCTTTCCTACCTCACATTCCCTGCTACAGTATAGCAGTGTCTGTATACCCTTAGAGTCAGAAAGAGCCGAGTTAAAAATTTGGCTATGCCATTAACAAGTTGTATGCCTATGAGCAAGTGATTTAACTACTCTGAGCCTCAGTTTACTCATATAAAAAATATAAATGGAATGGAAAAGCAAAGTTGAACAAGTATCATTGATATGTATTTCAGTCTTCCTTCCTGTAACCACTTGACAGCACCTCTATGCCTAATAGCTATGACTGGGTCCAACAACACTTGTTCTATCCCCAGGAGGCTCGTTTTTAACAGATTCTGACTCAATGCACTGCACCCACCTACTCTCCACCAATCAGGTTTGTGAATGCTGAGTTCTAAAGACAATAG